GAAAAAAATTGATTTCAAGTATTGGAGATAGTTCATCTTGTAATGCATTTTGTGGACAGTCAATTTTCAAGTTTTCAAGTATTCATAGATCTACTTGATTTACAATATTTTTCAAGTTTTAAATTTTATAATTAGACATGAAAATAATTTTTTAAGCCATCACAAATATTTTCAGTACTAAAATAACATCTTTCAATTCAATTTGAAGGTGCGCCTTGCTTTGATTGTTTAGGTCCTCAACTTTATACAAACCTCACCCAAAAAAATTACTATCCCATTACAAAAGGTGAGACTAAAAGACACCGTTTCATCTCATTTCATTTGAGAAACAAAGAAAGGCAAAATCTAATGCAAGCTTTTGAAAGAATAAAATATATTAGTAATTTATATATTAGTAATTTATAGGAAATAATAAAGAGAATTGGGTAGTGATTTCATGCAACGGCTGTATCATAGTATGATGCCATGAAACTTCTAAAAAACCATATTTGTGGTATTTGTATGACCCAAAAATTTGCACACACACTCTCTTCCTTAATTATCAATCCCTCAAAAGAAAAAGTTCAATTTGAACCCTAGATATGGTCAAAATGAGTCTTCTCCAAAAACTAATCTAGCCCATTCATTTGGTGAATTTCAAGTTCTTAGTCTTTATAAACTCAAAAGCATTTTTTTTTTTTTTAGCATTATTCAGCTAATGATAAAGGCATCCAAAAAAATTGGAAATGAAAAATTCCTTCTAAAGCCTAGATCTAAGCATCTCATCAAAATGAAAGTCCTATGTTAATTGGGCTAAAAAATTTTAAGCTATGTTTTCAAATTTTTCTTTGTTTTGTGATTGTTCATTAGAATGAAAAGAATATATATTTCAAATTTTGGATCAAACAAATCGTCATAACTGGTTTTTGAAAGTTGTTGCATTATATTACTATCATGAAATCATTGCTCTAAAGAATTATAATGTGGACAATGTTGGGAGAGTCAGTCGACTCACCTTGTTGTGTGTGTCTCCTCATGCATCAAACGGTTTGCCTTCAAGATCTATGCCAAAAATGGTGCCTTGCTAAAATCCAAAAAAAAAAAAAAGTCTAAAACAATCAGTTCTACTTTTCAGGAAAAGGAAACTTCAAAATTCATGATCATCATGATTGACATTAAATATGAAATTTTAGATTTGGGGGATATGTTATATTCCCACCGAAGTATACTATGTATTTACTCCCTCAAGTAAAACATAATTTAAGAGTAATTTTAGCCCTTTAAAATTTGGGGATGTAACCTCTTCGAACCATAAACTAATCTCAATAAAAACTATTTCCAGATTGAATTAACTATATACTAGAAAAATAGAAAAACGTTTCAAGGTTGAACACAAATCATCCAATGTTTGAAAGGTGAAATCTAGGTGTCAAAAAACTCAGAATTCAAAAAATTTATTTTAAAAATAAACATCTAATAGGTGGTTTCCAGAAGTTTAGACCGAAAAAAAATCTCAAAAGTCAAGTCTTATAAGCGAGGGAGTAATGTATAATATGCTCCTAAAAGAGCATAATGTACACGTTTTTTTATAGAGTTCCGGATTGAAGGGGACCCATCTTCAACCACGGCCTGGTCGTGCTGGACATGTGCCAATTAAGTGGTTTAGATAAGATGAAACTTTACAAAAAAAGCCAACTTTTGAAAGATAACAACAGCATGCCCATGGTTCGAGAGATTAATCACTTTACTGTTTAACAACCCTAAATACCATCGATATTTAATTCCTTCTCTCTCTCTCTTGCAAGTTAGAGAGAGAGAGTGTTTTTTTAGATACGGAAGAAGTTTATAAGGGTGAAGCTGTAAATAATCAAATTAAGGGGCACATCAAAAATTCACTAAGAGGTTACTTCAACGTTAAAAAATCTTCAAATTGATCATCTCGACTTCAAGATGTATGGACATGAGAAAAAATAGATTTTAATTCTTGAAAAAAGTACATCTTATAATGTATTTTTTAGTCAACTTTCAAGATTTTCAAGTGTTTATAAATCTGCATGATCTACACTATTTTTGAAGCCTTGAATTTATAACTAGATATAAAAATAAATTTGTAAGCCATCACAAAGATTTATAATACCAAAATAGCATCTTCGATAATATTTGAATGTACACCTTACTTTGGTTGTTTAGGGCCTCAACCTTATGCACACCACACCCCTCAAATATATATGGAGAGAAAGTAATGGGTAGAGGTGGTTTTTATGAATATGAAATTTTCCATTGAATTCGGGATATTTGAATGTACACCTTACTTTGGTTGTTTAGGGCCTCAACCTTATGCACACCACACCCCTCAAATATATATGGAGAGAAAGTAATGGGTAGAGGTGGTTTTTATGAATATGAAATTTTCCATTGAATTCGGGATATTAGAGAGAAAGAGTACGTATAGTTGAACATGTGGCCACCAACGATTTTTGAAACCTTTTTAACTCCGGATTTATCTCGTAAAAGCAGACAAAAGATACAAACACAACATCACGAATTTAGAAAAATAAAATCTATGAATAACTCTAGTACTAAAAGGTTTAAGTTGATTGTTTTAATCCACTTTACTTGTAATTTGAGGGATTTACATACGGACTCTAAATTTTTTTCTAAATGAAAAAATAAAATTAAATTAAAATTCAAACCGAGGATTCCATCCTCAAACCGAAGGGTAATTTTAGAAAAAAAAAGAGGGTTGACCGATCTTCATTGTAATTTCTGCCTATAAATTCATATTTTACAAAAAATTTAAGATCCATACATAAATCACTCTTGTATTTTTTAAGAAAAATTATGCAAATATTTCTCTAAATTACTGTCATTTAAGAAATAATTCTCTCAACAAATTTGTTTTTACATACATGAGTTTCTATTCAATTTTTTTGGGAAATTTATCAAAATACACACAAGTGATCAACTAATTACTTTTTTACCTTTATTTCTTGATCTAATTTTAAAATAACCATCAAAATATATTTTGGAATAATAAAATGGTGAGCTATTAAATTGCTGGAAAAGTTAAGTGTATTATATTATATACCTTTAGTATTTTTTATTTTTGGTCTCAAGTTTAAACTTATGGTCCAACTTTGAATTGAAGCGTTTTACTGAAAATATATTGTGAATATTGGAGGTTTGAAGTTGTTCTGAACTTCAACTTTGGACCTACAAGGTGTGATATTGTTCCACCTCGACAGGGGAAACCAGAGCCCTTGATAGTCTAAGTTCATGTTGCTACCAACAATACAAGTGCAACAACTTCGGATCCTGCAATTTCAAACAACTTCGAACTTCCAAAATTCAAAATATGTTCGAGCAAGAAGGTTCTCACATCCCAATTTAGACAATTAAGTTAAACTTGGAATTTTCAATATCTAAAGTATAAACAATTGAAGAAAATAAAAATTAAATAAAACTATAAATATAAAAATTACACTTTTTGAGAGAATTTATTCAGAAAAATTGTTTCATGCTGACTGGACTGCATTTCTACAGTATGAGATCCAGAAGTATAAAGCATCCATCTTAAAGATAGATACAAAGGTGGTCCATCTAAAAACAATAGTAACTAACAATCCAAATATTTTTTTGATATAATTATTATTTTTAGTTTTCATTTTTTTTTTCATATTCATGATCTCTATTTTATAGATATATATTCTTTAAAAAATAAGATCAAATTATATTAAAAAAATATATATTTATTGCCAAGCCCGCATTTCTACAATATGTGGGCTGGCTGCATAGAAACCGTGTCTATTCCTTAAATAACAGTTATTCGAGGAGTTATTAATTTCTCTATTTTTCAAGATACCATGAAAACCGTGGGCATCCACCGTTTGTCCCCAATGGTGGATGGCGGCGATTATACATGGTCGTCGGGGAACATGATTAAAGAAGGCCAGTTGATTCCATTGCGTTGTACCTCTATGCATACACCACCATTGTTTGCTGTACTTTTGCCAGAAAGCAGGAATCTTCCTCTCAATTCTTGGTTGGCTTACCAATGTTAGAAAAAATAAATAGTGATTGGAATCGCTTAATGCGGATTGATTTTAAGGGTATAGATCTAATTCCCACACCACACTGACAACTCGGCAATTTTTATTAGGAACCAACCGGTTATATGACAGAACTGGTTAATTCTCGATAAAACCAACCGTCAAAGTTAAGTTTTGTTTGGCCGATCCGAGTTTTTAAATATTATCTCTAGAATTATATTTGCTTTAGTTCAAGAAACCCTGAGGCCTATGGATCAATTTGCCCATAACCACCGAGAGGGCAATTTCCCACTCCATAATAAATAGGTGCAAAATAGTTATTCTGCACGTGTTGGAAGAGCAAAGAACGAAGGCCACGAGTTTCGCGGCCACACAACGCTGCCGGAGGGTATATCGGTCATTTTTTGAAATGTTCACAGGGGGGCATTATAGTCATTTTTTCAGAAATGGATCTGGCATACACTCTAAGAGCGAGGGTAAAATAGTCCGTTCTTTTGTAAGAAATAAAATAAAACAGAGAGATAAAAGAGCCGTGGTCACATCATCTCATATGACGGCAAGTCTTCCAGCCTGCGTAAATCTCCTCTGCCCTTTAAATCCCTCTCCGACCCCTCTCCTTAAACTTCTCAATTTCCTCTCTCTAAAAACTCTCTCTCTCAACTTTCTCTCTCTAAGTCGCTATCCCCCTTGTTAGACTCTCTTTCTAAACTTTCTCTCTCTAAGTCGTTCTCTTCCTCGTCTCTCTTTAACTCTCTCACTAATCTTTATCTCTCTAAGTCGTTCTCTTCACAACTTACCCTCACTAAACTTTCTCTCTCTAAAGTTTTCTCTCTCTAAGTCGCCCTCTTCTTCTCTTGTTCGACTCGTACTATTCTCTCAAGTCCTTGAACTTCTCTTTATTTTTTTTCTCTCTCTTAACAGAAATCTCCTTTTTTATATTACTCCTCGCTCTCTTCTATCTTTTTACCCCCTCTCTCTCTCTCTCTATTAACTTCTCTCTCTCCCTATTAACTTCTCTCTCTCCTTTAATCTTTTTCTCTCTAAGATATGGCATGCCATTCGTTTCCCTCAACGACCCATTAACCCAGGTAAGCTCGAGCATTACATGTCCTCTTTATTTCATGTCTTTTCTCGTTTCTGCTTCTTTGGTTTTTCTGGGTTTCATGCATCTGCGACATAGCTTGTAATAATCATGGAACCCATTGACTCAGGCTTCCTCTTTTTTGGTACCCAATTCTCGTGTGACGTTGCAGAGCACTTAATGGAGGTTAGCAGTCTTTTCTCTAACCTCTTGGTTTATATGGTTGTTTTGGGAAGATAATGGGCTATGGTTTTATGGTTTTTGTTCAGTGTTGTTATGGGTTCTTTGTATTACTTGTAGTGAAATTCATGGATCTTGTTTAATTCCCATTGGGTACAATGGAAGTAACAGTATTTTGTAGTTTGTTTCATTGTGATTACGCATGATTTTTGTACTTTCATTAGAGATGATTAGTGGGTTTTCTCTCTCTATATTTACTTATATGGTTTCATCAATATGGTTTGCATACTCTCTCTCTCTCTACTATATCTTTCTCTGGTTTGTTGTGGTTGGGGTCATGTTTTATCGTGATTGTTTGCAAACTTGATCTTTGCCATGTACTTAATAATCTATCATTCGTTTCTATTTTTGAAAGCTATATATTCTTCTTGTTAATTGGAACTGATCAGTTGATTATGTTGTTTCTTTGTTTTAAGCTCGTTAGTATGTAGGTGGTTGCCCTGCTTATGTTGTTAAAACTTTGAACATTTATACCTCATATCACTTTACTTTTCACTTTTTAGTTTTTTTTTTTTGTTTTTTGGGAACTACATGGCTGGGGGTTTGTCATTTGAAAATGTGTGCTCTTTGTCTAAGTATGTGTGAGAAATTGTTTTTGTTATGGTTTATTTGGGGTTTGTTTCTCATTTTTTTGAATGGTATGTAGTTGCAGTCAATTGACTGTATTTAGTGTGTAACCCTATGAACCATTAGCCTAACCCTAAAAATTTAACGTCTCTACTTAAAATTTCAGCACGACAATCTTCCTCTTATAAATTTTGAACCTTGCAAATGTCCTCCATGAACTATTGTCATAATTGGATATATTTCTCGTATTAATATAAAATGTGGAATTTGAAAGCTGGAAATATTTCAGAGTAGCAAGGGCCCCATCCATGGTTGACATATTCACTGCTCAACTGTATCTTAGGTTTCCATTTTTTATCATTGGGGTGGATAGAAAATTTCATAAAAATGGAATTTGTATTTAACAAATGCATATAAAGAAAAAGAGGAGAATGATGCTGCCATTTGTTTTTCCTCCCATGTGTCTTCCTGATTCGTTCTTTTTGTTTTGTCCAACTTCGCTATTGTTCCTTCCAACCAGTTCCGCGTTTTCTTCCCTTAAGGTTTCAAGCATTTCAAAAATCTAATGTCTCTTGTGAATTTGTCCAATGCATTTTCCATCTGCATATTTCCCTGTAGTGCTCTGAATGTTTATTGTTTCTTGAAAATTTTCCCGAACCCATTTCCCTGAAATGGAAATGTGATCTAAGCCATGAAAGAGTACATAGTTACATAGTTTTCAGTAGTTCTTTTGTCATGCAGCATTAATCTTGAACGGTCAAAATCCCCTACATTTGAAAATAATATTCCATTTTTTCATGAGTATAGCTTGGGATTGTCATACTTTTTAGAAAAGAGTTGGAAGATTACTGAAGGAAGAAATAGCAAGTATGAAGCTTCTGATGAGAGATTCCTATGCATCTTGGACTATTGATTTGTAGAATTGCAATTTATGTTAGTTCTCAAGTTTGTTTACCCCCGTCCCTAGGGAAATTCTCATGTGTGTGGGCTACATTTTGACAAAGAATGCAATTGAATATTAAATATAGCGATATTAATATAGTTAGAATAAAACATCTGTGGTAGATCACAAATGCTGGTTACACATTGATTTGGTTCTTGGAAATAAACGAGAGATGAAAAATGTAGTAGATTGTGTGGCCAAACATTAACAAATTTTCATTTTGTTTAGAGGAACTTGCTTTAGATATATACTGACTTAATTTTGTTCTAGACTCTTAAATATAGAAATACATCTATCTGAACTATCTCATTGTTTGATTTCATGCATCCTAACTCTCTTCATATAGATTGGCCTGAATGCTGTTCTTATGCTTAGTCTTTGTAAATAGTAATATACTCGCCGTAAGAAGCATTAGATCTGGATTGCTTCTTTTAAGTATGCAAATATAATCTACTTCATATTTTCATGAATCATAGCCATTCTTGTTTTTATTTATATTTGATACTATTTTGCAGATGGACAGTAATTGATGATGGCATAATCCTAGATGATGGTCAAATCATACCCATATTTGAACAACCACATTCTAGATGTTAGAGTTTTATATTAAGTTTCCAAATTTAGTTAGTTTCGGCATTTAATTTGAAGCTAGCTGAATGTTTGTAATTCTGTCATGTGCTGTCCAGCCTTATGCATATCAATCTTCAATTTGATATATAACACATTTTGGTAAACCCTAAAAATAAATAATTGACTTACTAACAGTTAAATTATCTAGTGTATGCCCACTACAAGTTAAGGTTGAATGTGCATCAAAATAAGAGTGCTGTCATCTCTTAATTTATTCATCTACCTTCTATTCAGCGTAACTCTCAGAATCACTTGATGGATGGTATGTTGACTGAATCCCATGCTTTTATATCTATAGTTGATGTAGTAGTAGTGTTAGTTTGTGATTTGCTTCACATTATTTTAATGCATGCACTAAGTTGTTTGCCTTATTTATTTAAACAATCGGTAAACTTGAAAACTTCGTCACTTGAAGGAATGAGGATGTAGAGCTGTAAGAAGTTTGGAATTATGGTTTCCTGTTTTAGGTCTTATAGTCATGTTCCCCATTCTCCAAAAGATAAATTGAATCCCAATAAAATGTGTATATTCATCAGAGAGCCTAGGACAAAAGGAATATAGGTGGCATGATCCAGTGACGAAGGGGGAAATTTTCCTTATCAGTCATGTGGTATGTCAAACTGTTTGTCTACTTCTAGGGGTTGCTTCTCTCACAATAGTTATTCCTATATCTCCTCTTCAGATTCAGGGAGAGATGATGACTCCGGAATATGCAGAAGGTGAGAATCAACATCATTCAGTACAAACTTATCGTAGGAGGACCAGAGGAAGTCAAGAACTTATATCTTCACCTCTGGAAGGCTCTGTCAAAGATCTGCCTCTGATGGGTTCCCTTCATGAGGTAACTCTTACTTCTTCTTTGTTGCCCATTCTCGATGTTCCATCTATTTCTTCTTCATTACTTTTGTGTCCTCGTTCTTCTGGAGTTTCCCATACTCTTGAGCATCTTCCTTGTAATTCTTTTTTGTCATCTTGTCATACTTTTTTTATTTCTTTTTCATGTCTCTGTGTGGACCTCACTCTTGTATGAAAGTGGATAATTATACTTTCTAGAGAGAAGCAGTCTTAAGAAGGATCTTAGGCTTAGAGACTAGGACGTGTGTTACGTGAAGATAGGAACATAATAACCTATGAATTACTGAGATAGTTTAGGGCTAGATTGGTAGCCTGGTTGTCAAATGAATATGGGTTTGACCTTGTTGAGACACTTGTTCTAGTTGCCGATGTAAATTAATATATATATACAACTCCATCCAGAATTTACATCAATCTTAGCTTTAATCATGATAACCCTTTTGATGTCATTATATTTCGAATTGGAGGCAGTATATAGTTTGAAGCAACCTCTTTGAAGTTCAGAGTGCAGTTTGCTAGATTTCTTATAACCACGAGGAAGTATGGTCTTAATGATGCTTCCCTGATTCATTCATTTGGCCTGATTTTTATTGCCGTCACTTTTGAAGGGGTTTATGCTAATGATCATAAGTACATAACAGGGGGAGGTGACCTTCACTTTGTTCAACCCTGGCCCATACAGTTGTGTTTAATGGATTAATTTACAACCATGAGAGAAGATGGTATCTCATAGTGGAGATATAACTGTCTTAACAGGTTCTACTATTTGATCTTATATTGGAGAAATCACCATGTGAGGGTCTATATGTTGAATTCCTATGTGAAGATGATTCTATGTTTGTTGACTTTGTTCAAACTCCCAAGGCTTCTCTTGCTAATCAGTTTGGAATAAGATCATTGGATTTTTAGTGTAATACTTTGGAGGGGGGGATTTCTAAAAGAAATATTGGTTCACCTAGGTCATACACTTAAGCTGTTCTTCCATTGGTCTCTTGAAAGAAATATATCACATGAGATGAATTCAAAGTTTGGAAGGTTTTTTGAAGATGCAGAAAGAGATTTTGCCCTAAAAAGAGTAGCAGGGAGCCTTATAAACTAACTATTGAGTGTTAATGGTATCAATTATGATGTGAATATGGTCGTCAGCTAGTTCATGCATAATTTTATTATCTCCATACTAAACAAAATTTTTGAGGTATTTTATCCTAGTCATGGCTTTCTTATCATTGAGGTTTTATCTGTATGTTTGATTTCTATAAGAACTTCAAATTAATAGAATAAAGAATATGTCTAGCCAATTTCTCACATGACATTTGTGCCCTAATAGTAATTTAAAGAAGCCAAGAAGCACACATGCTTGGTCCCTTGCTTATTTTAATTGCAGAGTGATGGCATTTTTGCTGCTAGAGGTGATATGATTGTTTGCTTTTTCTTGAGGGGTATCTTATTAGCTTACTAGAGGTGGCTTAGAGTTAATAAAGTAATTTAATTATGCTTTCACTTTATTTTTAAGTTCTATTTTGTTCTCATTTTTCTTAATTTTTCTAATTTCTCAAGTTATTCTCTTATATTTAAATATTGACTTAAACATGAAGTTATTATATATTATATACGTAATAGCAGAGGGATTTTGTGGCAAAATGAAATGCTGAATGGGATTTCAAAAACTCGTGGTGCCTCCATGGTGACTGGTAAATAAACAGATTTTTTGCTTGGGCTGGAAATAGGCCTAATGGCCTATCCAATGGCCTTGGTTTGGCAAATGATGGTTGTATGGATTGGACCTAAGGTTCATCGAGTAAGCCTGGGCTTAGATCTGGGTTGCTAGGCTGAGTAGGCCATTATCATGCTCTCACGGCTCGACCAGGTACTACACAACCTGGCCCATCAGGAATATATTTGTATGTATAATCTAATCATATAACTTACGTGTATTAGGTGTATATCATGTCTTCCTCTTATTGCAGAAATACTCTGTAGAGGGCTATGTAATGGATTGCCATTGATGATTGGTGGGCTCCAAAGCTATGAGAACTTGGCAATGCCCTTTACTGATCGGTAGTGCTTACGAACCTCGAACACCCTATCCGAGAACTGCATGGCTTAAGATTGATTGATTCTATTATGCCGAACAACTCATGCTAAGACACTTGGATTTCTTGGCAGGAAGTTGATTTTGAAGCTTAAAACTATTTTTATTTAAAATATAAGAACCCCTTTGACCATCAAGCAGAAAAAACATTATATGCATAACAATCCCTTTTAAATCCAGCATTGAATTCCTTTGAGTGGTATTCTTTTGAGGCCCTGTTCTTCTTCTTTGTTCTCATATGCCATGGGGATGAAATGCTCAACATGTTGACTTTGCACCTGTGGCTCTTTATTTCTGTGAAACTAAGATTGGATTCTGATTCTCTTCCCTTGGTTGTCTGCCTTTTTTGCATATAAGACTATCTTTTTGTTTGACTAAATTGTTGACACCACAGCTTTGAATATATGAAAGCCCCAAACTGTTAAAAAATTATCTTGCAACTTGTAACTCTGCAATTACCAATTGAAAAAAAGAAGAAGAAAAAAAGATCTTGTAACTCCCCGTCTTGTCAATATTCTGTTCAATTCATAACAACAAGCGCTTGTGTTTCAAAATTATTTGGCCAAGCAGAACAGACTGTTGGAATAGTTTATGCAAGTAATGCAATGAAACCCTTATTCAAATAAAAAAAACTTCAATTAAACGAAGTATATGATTAGTATGAGTTCCTTCACTTGTTATGCATATTTTTCTCATGGATGTGTTTGATTCATGCATGCTTACCGTTGATTACATCTGGTATAACCTCAAAATGCTGTTTGAACTTTCTTAAGTGCATCCAATTTCCTGCATATTCCAGGTGAGCTGACCATATGAATACCCAACTAAAAGCTCTGTTTTAAAGGCTTAAAGGATGTCGTTAGGGTTAAATATTCACTACACAATTTAATATGAGAGGCATGTTTCTTAAATGATAGCGGTTCCAAATTTTTTCCACGGATGTCATTTGAAAGCATACCTGGTCTTGCAAGAATGCAGATTACTTGCTTGTGGGAGCTCATAATTTGTAATACATGTGTCATGTAGAAGAGGGTCCAATTTTGTAACATAGCAATGAAGAGCATGTTGCCAACTTCCATGGTCATTAAAAAGAAAATTCCATGGAATTCATTGTTTGGATGCTACAAAGGGTTGTTATTGGTTCCATTGCAAAAGTATAGTGTAACTTACTGCTACTCCATAATGGTGTTGAATGCCTTGAGTGCTTCTAAATGTCTGTCCATCAAGCTATTCTTTGTACTCTGTGACCTTCATGTTGCATCTGATATTAGTTCACCAGGCCATTGTCTCTAAGTTTTGTATTTTGTAAAACTTGACTTCGATGTGAGCATTTAATACCATTTAAAATTTGGAGGATAAACATTATGAAGGTGCTTTCTTAATGTTATTTGTCCTAGTTCCAGGGGAACCTAGTGGAATTTTTGCAAAAAATACAAGATTTGTTACCAAATTGTTGTGCTTTGAATACCAGTTACATTCGTAGGGAGGTATACATGGTGCTTATCAGATTGGTAAACACTGGTATATCTGGCAATTGCATTGGTGTTATATTCTTATCTATGTCTCTTTCTCTTCTGGGTGTTAACCGTTTTATAACATTTTCTTTGTTTATGACGTGTCACCTGTCCATGGAAACAAAGCGGACCATCCCTTAGCAGGAAGGTGGTGCTCTAGTCTTCTAGATCATTGTACAAAAGTGAAAAAGTAGCTCCAAAATAGGTTATAGAAACTTTAAATTAGTTATTTTAAAAAAAATAGAAACCATGAGCCCTCACCCTAGACTTGTTATCCAGAGAAGGAAAAAGTGTTTGGTGCATCAGGGCCAGAAGCTGTTGTTGTGCAGGCTCTGGTATTTGCACCATCTAATTGTATTGGACAGTGCATATTGTTCTTTCTCCTCCCTTATCTTGAGGTCTTAGACAAATCTTCACCCTCCAAGTTAAATGGATAGTTCTGAATGTTGAGCACACACCATAATTGGTGCCGTGCGTCAAGGCCCTCACCATAACCGGAACCTTCATAAAATTCGAGGAAGGCTAGTTTGTTACTCTGAGAGTGTTGAGTTCTCGTCTCATCCTCGGCAGACTAGAAGCGACAAAAAATAATTGAAGATATATGGTGCTGTTTCAATTAGTTTCTGCACTGGTGGGCTGAACAACTTCCAATCTGATTGTATGATTTGCAACAATGAATCTGCCAACTTAAAAGAAATAAAAGGAAAAGAGAGACTCTCCTACAATGATTACTAAATCAATAGTTATGTCATGGATTCAAACAGAAATGATTACTTGTCCATGAATGAACTCCAATAATCCAACTTTAAAATGTACTCCCATCCCAAAATCTGAAAACAGATTCTTACCATCTTCTGATTTTCAAAGTTAGTCTGCATGTGAATAAGTGGATATAATTCAAAATAAATATTCCATTTAACCTAATTGCGGAAACATTTGTTTTATTTCTTCTGCTAATAATGTTATTGAACATTGTGTTTGGATCAGAAAGAAAAGCCACAGCTGAATCCGTATGCCCATTATTATGACCTAGATCAGCAATACTCTATACACTTTTGATGGTGAAAAGAATATGGCTGTTTTTGTTAATTATTGTCCCAAAGGCTTCGGCTTAGTGGTAGGCATCAGATTCGGTGAGGGAAGTCAAGGGTTCGACTTGAAGTTTGTCCATAATGCTGATACAAGCTGACTTAGCCTCTTTTTTTTTCTGGATTATTATGATCCTACCCTCCATTTTAGTTCATGGAGCTTTAACCCCTTGTATATAGGGAAAGCATATGGTAGTCATCACTGTCTGAAGAAATTATGAATTGTTAATGGAGTGAGAGGGGGATGTCCTGGTGGGTCCAACTTGCTATGTCATTGTTGATCATTTCATCTGACATCGATGATCCTCATGGACTATGTTTTACCATAGTCTAAGACCATAATGTAGCAATTTCATTGTATCTTTTCATTCATCTGTAAGATTTGAGGCTGCAGAGGTTCTTATTCTACTGTATGTCTTAGCAGATGCATTCAGCTGACCTAGATGTTGGTGAAGACTGCATTGATGACATTCTTTCCCCTGGTTCTCCTTGCACAAGTGGTGTATATGGAGATCCTCAGGTACATGTTCCTTTTCCCTTTTCTGGATCTGTAAAATATTTGGGGCAAAGCAAGCCTGGGGATTTGAACCCTGGCATCCACAGGTACAACCACGAGTAGGAGAACAGTACCAGGTGGAAGCTCCACCCCTAACACCAGAAAGTGACCGTGTAAGTGAGCTTGTACATAATGGGACTGTAGCAACTGTTGCAAAGCACAGCGATTGTTCCATGGCCATAGGACTGGCCATTCCAATCATGTGGATCTCTGGTGAAGCAGATGGTTATAAAAGGCATAAAGAATCATCATGCCAAGAACTTGTACACATAGTTGATCAGAAGAATTCACAGAATGATGCAAATGGCAATGAGAAGTCTATTGTTGGGGGAAATAGTGATATGGTTTGTCTTAGCTTGACAAGCTGGCATCTAGTCCCTGGTACGCATGGTGGCTCATGGAATAAGCTTGAGCAAGACAGTTTTCTTCTTGGACTCTACATTTTTGGCAAGAATTTAGTCCAAGTAAGAAGATTTGTTGAGAGTAAGGAGATGGGGGACATACTTTCCTATTATTATGGAAAGTTTTACAGGTCTGATGCGCATCGGAGATGGGCTGAGTGTCGGAAAATTAGGAGCAGGAAGTGTATTCATGGGCAGCGGATTTTCACAGGATGGAGGCAGCAGGAGATATTGGCACGTCTGTTACCCCACACAACTGAGGAATCAGGGAATACGCTGATCGAGGTATCTTTCGTGGATGCTCATTTGATTATTCTCAGTGTTTTTCTCTATTTTGATTTTGGTGTGTGAATGAGAGCAGAAATTTTCTCTATTATGATTTTGGAGAGCGAGGGAAGGAGGGAGGGAGGGAGGGAGGGCATTTGAGGTTTAGTGACATACTATCTGCTTTTTATGCATGTTTTGCAATTTCAAACTCTTCATGTTTTATTTAAATTATTGGACTTGTTGCAGTTAAATATTTGCACTGGAATAGCTATGACAAATTGCAACATTTCCTTCATTCCCACTTATGGCTTTAACCTGTGGGTCCAAGATACTTATTTGAGGGGACAAGTGCCAGAGTAAGAAGTACTCAAACTTCTAAAGCAGATATTTGATTGCTTTCTACACAATAGGTTTCACTAATGAATATGAATTGGGTAACTTGGCTGTACTAGGCTAGCTAAGCTATCTATCATGGTGCATCAAATACCAAGATTCGTTGTGACCCTGATTCTTTTGTATAGAAGGATTTTGGAAAAACAGGCCAACCCCAAACAGTTGAGATAGGCTTGGTCGATGATGATGAGGCCAGCAGTCTTATGAAAAAATTTCTAGGATCAAGATTCGTTGAAACCAAGAGGCGAAAATCTGAAAATATAGTTGGATATTTTATTTTGATCAGTAATGATATAGTTAATTAGCAGAACAGAAAAATCTTGAAATTTCCATCCAGAAGACATAAAGTCAGATATGCAGCAATACACCTTAATTGAGGACTGATCACCAAAGAAGCCAGAACACATGGATCATGTCCGGGGGAGCACACCGGACTCTTCTTGAATAAGTCACATCAAATAGCACACAGAAAGACTGACAAAACATAAAGAATATACATTAAGTGGATATGTTAGATCTCAATATAATCCGTTATTCTATTTCCAGAAGTAACTGTTATTCTCATACTAAAAAGTTTAAAGGAAACTATTTTGTTTATATCTTTAAAATGGCTAAAATGCTCTGAACTTCCAAAGAACGTTTCGGAGTTCTTTATAAAAAACAAAATTCATTTTTGTGTTGTAATTTTAGCTTTTCATAAGTGAAGTAGAATATGATCCAATGGGTATGGAAACCCATGGTCCACTAATGTCATTACATTTTAATAAAATGATGGACAAACCCATGGTCCACAAATGTCATTACATTTAAATAAAATGATGGATTTAGAGTGGGACCCAGCAGAACAGGTAAGGATGCCAATGATGAGTCTCTCTCTCTTTCTCTCTCTCAATGTCTGCTGTTTGGTCGGGTAATTGCAAGCCCAATGGTTTACAGTTTTCTCTTAAGTTGGATTAGAGTATGCTTTCCCTTTTCATTATACTGTTCTTTGATGCTGTTTTGCCTTATGAGTTGATCAATAGGTTTCTAAATCATTTGGCGAAGGAAGAGTTTCACTCGAGGAATATGTCTCAGCATTGAAGAATACAATCGGGTTGAGGCAGCTAGTCGATGCTATTGGAATCGGCAAGGGTAAGCAAGACCTTACTGGGATTCTTATGGAGCCCATAAGGACAAATCAGCCAGGCCCTACCCGCTCTGAAATCCCTGTTGGCAAGGCTTGCTCCTCTCTCTCATCCAAAGATATCATAAAATTTCTAACAGGAGACTTCAGGTTAAGCAAAGCAAGGTCAAATGATCTCTTTTGGGAAGCAGTGTGGCCTCGCCTCCTTGCAAAAGGTTGGCACTCTGAACAACCCAAAAATCAGGGTTATGTTGGCTCCAAGCACCCCTTGGTTTTCCTAACCCCAGGTATAAAGAAGTTCTCAAGAAGAAGACTTGTAAAGAATGTCGATTATTTTGATTCAGTGAGTGACGTACTGAACAAGGTGGCATTAGAGCCAGGGCTTCTTGAGCTAGAGGTGGATGGGTCCAAAGGAAACAAACCCAAGGAAGAGTATGCCTGGGAACCAGATATAAAACCAGAGCAAAATGAGAATGGGTCATCCAATCAGAACCGCCATTGTTACTTACGCCCAAGGTTGCCCAAATGCAATTTGGAGCTTCCCCAATTCACTGTGGTGGATACTAGCTTGGCTCGTAAAGGAGAGCGGTTTAAGGTGAGAGAAATGAGAAGCTTACCTGCTGATACGATTATGAACAGCTTGACAAGCCTCTCGAGAGAAACAACTGATGGGGATAGCTCTGACGAGCAGGTAGAAGAGATTGATTCTGTTCAGATTTTGCAGAAGAGCCAGGAGTCTCCCCTCCGTGACAAGTTTGCTAACGAAAAATCAGGAGAGACTATGATGGAAATTGACCAGAATATCAATGTACATTTGCATGAAAACGAACAGGAATCTACTCCAGTATCAGAGGAAAATCAAGAAGAACAAGTGAGAGAAACAAAAACCCCAATGCTTCCATGCTCAAATTCTGATCAGACAAATAGTTTTGTTCCCTCTCCAAAAAGGCAAAAGATAAGCCCTTGTGTTTCAAATGATCGGGGAGATGGGTTTTCCGGGGAATGTAAAATTAAGAAACAAGAATTTTTTAGCAGATCAAATTCATGTGAAGTGAGCCCTTCTAAGGCTAAAGAGTCTAGCGCATCTCTGCAGAAGATGCACACTCCTTCCTCTGTCCAGGCCAGCCCAGATAATAGTGGAACTATAGCCAACTGTTTAGATAATGCTAGTGAAACTGAAAGGATCCAGCCCCCTCGGGCTTTGATAGATCTGAACATACCACTGGATATTGAGAGTGGAGAAGCCTTAGTTCCACAGGTGGCTGATAGCCATGACGAGTTAAACCCACAACCAGAAGCAAATTTTTCAAACTCAGAATTCAACCGAAACCCCAATGACGTGGTCAAGGAGGAAAAACCCACTGAAAATGTTCGGAGGCAGAGTACGAGAAACCGGCCTTTGACAACTAGAGCATTGGAAGCCCTTGCATGTGGTTATCTAAACACAAAGCGGAGAGCAAGGAATAGTGACAAAACCGATACCAATAAGACCTTGGGTCGAAAAACCTCAACACGAAGACGAAGAAGAGAGGCCCAAGATAGGGCTCCAGTGGTTGAATCTGAGAAAGAAGAGGCGTCTGATAAGGATATGAAAGTGGAGTTGGAGGATGAGGAGTGCAGTAGCAGCAAGAACACTGCTGTGGTTGTCTCTCAGATTCGATCAGAGAGGAGAGGGTCACATGGGTTGTTAGGTGTAGTCCCAAATTACCAGACAGAGATCTCGACTGGAAAAGATGGTCGATCTGATTAGGCACATTGCCTGTTTGCTACTAGGGGTATAACCATCTTTTGTTCTTGAAGTCCCTGATCTTATAGAGCTGCTTTATTGGAGGCCAAGAATTCGTCAACATACCATGAAGCATTTTTTTTTTTCACTCAAGACTGATGACCTTGAGCCATTCTTGAAGCCTGAGAGGTGGCCTTTGGTGCACAAGGTACACTGGTTGTTGCAAGCTCTACACCAGTACACTATGGCATAATCTTTCTTTTATACACACCTCGTAGGATTGGTTTCTGGCTGGTGGGATATACATGACATGAGGGCGACTGAATCTTGATTGGATCAGCTTCTCACTCCCATGATCCATCATAGTTGCAGCATTTTCAATTGTAGTGAAAACAGTTAAGGTCCACCAGAGTTTTCAAGCTTGGCTCTCCATTTCAGATAATTCTTCTGTTGCCAGTGCCAATAGACCCGAAACAAGCTAACATTCTGTCTTTTGCTATATATATATATATATATATATATAGAGAGAGAGAGAGAGAGAGAGAGAGAGAGAGAGAGAGAGAGG